TTTTTAATTGTACAATTCAGTGACATTAATTACATTCACCATGTTGTATAACCATCACCATTGCAAACTTCCAAAAGTTATTGAGTATACTGAATTTTTGTTAATGGTAATGGAAAACTTTGGAAATGGAAAGTAGTGATGGTTGAACAGCATGATAAATGTAATTAATGTCACTGAATTGTACATGTGAAATATGGTGAAATGACAAATATTTTCTTACGTATATATATGATAATAAGCCAGAGAAAAAAAGTTTTTTATTACCCCAAATAGAAACTCAGTAACCCTTAGACAAAATCTGCCAACAACTTGCCCCTTCTCCCAGTCCTCGTAAACACTTCTGTTTGTTTATTTTCTGTAAATGGACACTTGGTTTCTTTCTTCAATTATGGATATTGTGAAAAATGCTGCAATGAATAGTGTGTACAAATACCCATTTGAATGTTTGCTTTCAGTTCTGGGTCATATGATAATTCAATGGGAAACTTTCTGAGGAATGGCCAAACTGTTTTATGTAGTAACTATACCATTTTACACTCCTGCAGGCAAAGCATAAGGATTCCAATTTCAACACATCCTCACCAGCACTTGTTAACTTGTTATTTTCCATATTTCTTGTAATTGCCATCCTAGTGGGTGTGAAGTGCTGTTCATGTTTTTTATTCTTTAATTTAATCAATTTATGAATGGACCAAAACATATTTTAAAAAGCTGTACTCCATGTCAGAAAAGGGAAAAATATTATAAAATTATATTTTATAATATAACAGCTGTGAACAGTGAGTTTGTTTTTTTAAATCACATATTAAATGAGAAAAATTATATTTCACGAGAACTAATTTGTTAGTACATTAATGAAAAGATGGAAGTTGTTTATTTGTTGTAGTAATTTCACTTTAGATATGGGACCCACCAGCCACTCCTCGGAAGGAAGGTTGGGCAATCTACTTCTGTAGTGATACTGCCTCGGAAACCCAAGGAGTGGTCACTATGAGTCGGGTCCGACTCAACGGCATGTAACAACAACAACAATGCATTTATTTATTTAGTTTAGCTCTGGTGACATAGTGCCCAAGGCATTTGACTGCTAAGCAGAAGGCTGGTGGTTCAAAACCACCAGCCACTCCTCAGAAGGAAGATTGGGCAATGTACTTCCTTAGAGATACCACCTCGGAAACCTAAGAAGAGGAGGTCATGAGTCAGATTCAACTTGATGACAGTGAGTTTGGTTTTGGTTTTACTGAAGGTAGATGCTAATCTTCACTAAGGGTGAGGAGAGTATTGTAACTGCAATTTACTTCATCACTGCCACTTTTCATTAAGTGTAATAAAAGTTAATGTTTATGATTTCTGGCAAGATGGCAGAATAGGCAGACAAGCTAAACAGACCCTCTGCATCAAAGAAATAACAGACCAATTGAAACTCATACAGAGGACAATCCTGGAACCCTAAGCTTTGAAGGGAAGGATAAAAAAAAAGTGGATTAAAATGCCAACTGGTAAAAGAACCTGAATGAAACAGTGAGTAAGGAGGCAAACTGAGCTGCAGACTGCTGGCTGTCCTGAGGGCACAGCCATTAAGAATATTTCCTGGTAGCAAACTAAGAAGCAGATCTGCTGACAAAGGACTGCACAGACAAGGACTGAATTGGTGCCTGACAGCCAGAAAGGAAAACAGCAAAGAAGGAGACAAACAGATGTGTGGACTACCGTGGCTGTCCTGAGGTTGCAGCCATTTTGAATATTTGCATGTAGCAGGTGCACCCACTTTAAATACATGCAAGTGGGGTTCTTACCTGAGAAACCTAAGAATAGGGTCCACTTGTTTAGGACAGCATGAGGAACCCGCTGGAGGCTGACAACTAGAAAGGTGTAAAATTCCCCTTGTTACTCTTATACCCCACACCTTCTTTGTGGATAGAGTTGTGGTCATACCCCACCTCCACTCACCTTCTTGATGAACAGGAATTCCATCCCAGTCTGTGCTCTGACAGAGCCTGGGTGTTGAGTCCTGACCACCAGGTTTTTTTTTGTTGTTGTTGTTGTTGCTGTTTATTTGTTTTTAGATTGTACTTTTATCTTCTTTTTTCTCCTTTTTTTTATTCCCCCTCTCTTTCCAATTCTTGGTTCTTTTGTTTTCTCCTCTTTCCCATTTTCCTGATTCCATTCTTCTTTCACTCTTTTGGTTCTTTCCATCACTTGTTTTTCCTTTTGCAGTTTTCCCAATTCTTCTTTACTATTCCTTTACTCTTGCTCTTTTCTCTCATTCCTCCCTCCTCATATATTGCAACTTTTCTTCTCATTATCTTTCTTTTATCCTTTTTTAATACAGTTGGAAAATTTTTCTACTCATTTATTATATTTTTTGGACTTGCTTGGTGCCCATTTTCCCTCCAATTTTTCCCATTCATAATGGAAATATCTAACTTGTACCTGTTCCACTGTTGTATTTTAGAAGCAGCTAACTTGCATTCTAGATTTCACAAGTTCACAGATGAAGAGTAATTTTGATCCAGGATGAAATAAGCCTAAAGTCTCATCCATATTTGATTTAAGTGACTCAGAAGATGAGATTTTGGACTTGAAGTTGATTTAAGGCTTTTTTATTTTATTTTAAGAGCTTGTTTTACATTCTAAACGTGTACATTTAGTTTCATTCCCCATTTACCATGTCCAACCCTAACCCAGTCTCCTCCCCTCCCTACCCTGTAACTCTCCCCCTGTGCCCCTCATATTTATGCACTCCTGTTTGTACTGCATTTCCTCAACCTGAATGTTGGTCCTCTGGTACCCCGTGGTCCAT